TCAACTCATGTCCCGACGTGGCGTCAACCATATAATCTATGTGGGGAAGCGGATAATTGTCTTTTGGGCACGCCTTGTTGAGGTCGGAAAAATCAATACACAATCTCCACAACCCATTACTCTTTTTAACGAGAACTGGATTTGAGACCCACGTCGGATATTTGGCTTCCTTGATGAATTTATTGTCAACGAGTTTTTTGACTTCTTCTTCCAATGCCTTCTGACGATCTGGCCCCAGTTTCCTTCTCTTTTGTGCGACAGGCCGGACTGTTCGATCGAGGTTTAGTTTGTGGCTAGCGACACCGGGGTCGATGCCCTTCATATCCTCGTGCTTCCAGGCAAAGACATCAGAATTCTGCTTGAGAAACACAATAAGTTCTGACCGAAGTGGTTCCTGAAGATGACTTCTGATACGTAATGACTTGTGGAAGACTGGTTCGTCGATATAAACTAACTCCACGTCTTCTCCAGGTTCGGCTCGATCAGGCCGGCTTTTTTCTTTAAACAATGCTCTGGGGTCCAACTCGTCTTCTTCAAGAAGTGGTTCTTTTCCAGGTCGGCGACCTCGGTCTTCGGTTAAAGGATCCGAGGTGGAAGGCTCGCCGATGTGGTCGCTTGGTTCTTCGGTCATCGCATCGTCCGGAGAGTGGTGCTGTGGGGGGGCTTCATCGTTATTCGTTGAAGCTGAGTGAACTCCATGAGATGGGATGAACGTAACAAGTTGTCGAGCTTCTCTTTGATCTCCGAAGTGGGTTCCTTCTCCCCGGGTTGTCGGGAATTTTAACGCGTAGTGAAAGATAGAGACTGCAGCCCGAAGTTTGTACAATGCCGTTCTGCCGATGATGGCGTTATACTCGTTATTAATATCCATAACTTTAAAAGTCTCCATGACGAGTTTGGTTACATTCTCCGAGGTGCCAAATCGGACAGGCAAAGTGATCTCTCCGATGGGTTTTGAAATACTGCCATTAAACCCCTGGATTTGATCGTTGCAAGGTCTGATCTCGGCGGGGTCAAGACCCATCTTGTCAAAAGCTTTTAGCATCAAAATACTTGAATAGGCCCCAGTGTCCACCATGACACGATGAACCGGAATACCACATATTGGAACGGTGATGACCAGGGCGTCGAAATGAGGATGAGCGAAATGATTCGCGTCCTCCATATTGAAGGTTATAGGGCAATTCCGATTGTTGAGAACATCTCTCAAATCGGTGGTATAAACCTGTTTACCGGAGTTGTGAGCTTGTCGGGCATACGCCTTAACCTGTCGGCGGGATAATGTACTCCGGGAGTTGTTG